TTAATGATATTATCTCTTTACAGGAGCAGTATACTTCCATATATGATGTGATTGACGTGTACCTTCAGATGAACAGCATGTATGGAAATTTTCAGTAACTGTAATGTAGTGAAAATAGTAATACTGTGTGACATTTTTGTAGTAAAAGTTATTATTTTTGTATATATTTAGTTTACTATATAAATGGTGTGACAGAACATTATTATATGAATTTTATCAATATTGTGATGTTAGAGGAGTGATCACATTAGCTTCTTATTATTGTAAATGTAGCATTTAATCACACGTGAAATTTCCGAAGTATGAATTACATATGTTGTGTCATTAATGTTATTCATTGAGGTGTTGTTGTTGCTGTGCAGTTTAGTGGGTGGGAATGAAGATGTACTCAGTATTAGTGATTGCTGTCTTCTTGTTGAGTGTCAGTGAAGTTATTAGTCAATGTCCACCTTCCTCAGGTAAGACACTGGATGTGTATAATAACGACTGTATAGGTTTTTATAGGTATCTACCTGAGGCATGATGGAAACTGTTATCCTAATGGATCATACTTTTGGGATAGTAGTGTCAATGCAGCTAATGAAGCTATATCATGTGTGTTACCTGGTACTAGTCTAACTACTGGTCAGTGGGTTAGAGTTGCTGATCCTGATGATGATCCTGTTGACTGTAACACTAATAGTGCCAGCGATCCTTTTCGTTGCACTAATGTCACTTCACCTAATGCTACTCTCAATCTTTATCTTGCTCAGGGACTACCAGCAGCTCAAGAAGGCTGGTACAAGTGTTGTCTACCCACTGATTGTTCTAATACTAATAACACCATCTTTGCTAATATATTCAGTAAAAAGAGACTATAATCACTTACTGATATAATAATTTTCATTTGTAGGATTTGCAGAGATAGAATCATTTACTGTTCCTGATCTTCCTTCTGATATGACAGTATATCCTCAGAAATACAAACTGAATTGTACTAAAATTGGACACTATGGTTATAATATTAGCATGAACATTGGTAGCACTGCACTGGCTAGTTACACTAATTGTGATGATCGAAATAGTAATAATTGTCCTGGTGCTGTGTTGGTTAGTAGTACCAACACAGTAAGATATACTGTTAATATCACATGGGATGGAATGACTGTCAGTAGTGGATCAATCAGTCAATCAACCACTGGAGATCAAATGTATCAGTGTGTAGTGCAAGTTGCTGGTCAACCAACTAGAACACATGATGTAATTGTAAAAGGTAATGTTTATGAATGCTAATCATTCTTGATACCAATAATATTAGTACCAGGAGCTGCTCCCTCTCCTCTTACTGAGGTCAACAAGACAGCTACCACTATCACTGTCAATTGGACTGGACTTAATTCATCTGATGCTGATGGATATGTAGTCAATGTCACTAGTGACACAGACACTGTGCAGACAGTACAGGTGGAGGGAAGTAGTAATAATACAATCACAGTGAATGGACTGAGAGAACTAACAACTTATAGCATCACAGTCAGAGCCTATCAACAATTACTGGGACCTGCTAGTACAATCAGTGTCTTTACTCATTGTCAGCAGGAAGGTACTTTAATTTAAATTGATATAAAATGTACTTTAAAGTAAATTTTATTGCTGGTACCATCAATTGCAAATTTTGCTATTGAAATAAAAGTTGCAATCATTGTTACATGTAATAATTAGATCTGCCCTATCTATGAATATATCTATGTATTATATCTATATATTTATATATATAGATATCCATATCTGACAACAATAATTTACTAATTGCAATTATTAACACCCAAAAATCTACTGAGAGTAAAAATTGAAATATTTTGTATTTGTAATTAAAAGTTACTCTAATGTAAGTATTGATTTTATAGGTATCTATTTAGCATATAATGGAAACTGTTATACTAATGGATCATATGTTTATGATGCTGATATTAAAGGAGCCAGTAAAAGTATCATGTGTGTGTTACCTGATACTGCTCTGAATGGTGGAGAGTGGGTCACTCCTAGTGGATCATCAGTTGGCTGCAGTACTGATCCTCTTCGTTGTAATGAGGTATCTTCACCTAATGCTAACATCAATCTTTACATTAATGGAAACATTCCACCATCTGATGATGGCTGGTACAAGTGTTGTCTACCCACTAATTGTTCAGATCCTAACACTAACATCATCTTTGCTAATATATTCAGTAAGTGTTCTCATTAAACTAGTACACACTGTCACTTTGTTACTGATTTACTGTAGGATGGGCACAGATTGAAACCATTACAGTTGACCTTCCTTCAGATAAAACAGTTCTACCTCAAACATATACACTACATGCCATTAAAATTGGTAGTGATGAACACAGTCCTTTTTTACATCATGTCAATTGGTACTACATGTCTGGTAGCAATAGTACTGAACTCTGCACTGGATATAGGACCTCATACAGTTGTAACTTCATGTATGGTGATGGAATGTCAGTAGATTATGGTAATGGAAGGTGGGACTATACTCTAAATGTTACTTGGAATGGAGAGACTATTCCTAATGGAGTACTAAGCCAATCAAACAACAATGGGGATCATGTATTCAGGTTCTATTTAGATTTTGGTCATACCAGTCACAGCCCAGTAAAAAGAAATAGAGGCATTTTTGTAACAGGTAGAAGAGCAATAAAATAACTTTATTATTTTTTTATAGCACCAGCAACTGCTCCCTCTTCTCTTACTGAGGTCAACCAGACAGCTACCACTATGACTGTCGGTTGGACTGCACTTGATTCATCTGATGCTGATGGATATGTAGTCAATGTCACTAGTGACACAGACACTGTGCAGACATTACAGGTGGAGGGAAGTAGTAATAATACAATCACACTGAATGGACTGAGAGAAGAAACAACTTATAACATCACAGTCAGAGCCTATCAACAATTACTGGGACCTGCTAGTACAATCAGTGTACAGACCTTACCAGGTATTGCTACTGCACATTTTAATGTACTCGTAACATTGTTGATGTATTTTTAGTTATTAATTCAATCAATTGGACACTAGTCTCATCCATTACACAACTCAATAACACTCAATATCGTATTGATTGTCTCACAACTACTGATATCAATCCTTCAACTGATGTTAACTGGTTAGTGAATAGAGCGATGAAGAGTAACTCAATGTATACATCAATTGATGTCCTGACATACAACAACACACTACTGGTGTATCCTGATCCACTGGGAGTGTCAGTTAATGTTACTTGTATAGCAATGATTGGAGGAGTTAACTACAGTCAATCTGTGATATTACATGGTATGATTATACTTTAATCAATAGTAGATACCTTTGTCTCTTTTCTAGCTCCTAGTGGTCCTCCAAATAATGTGACAGGGTTTATAATAAAACCTACTAGTATCAAAGTGAACTGGACCACTTCATCAGAGACTAATGGATATGTGATTGAGTATACTACTGGAGGTGTAACCAGGAATGTAATATCTACCAGTGAAGATGAAATTGTACTAACAGATCTCTCACCAATGAGTACCTATACCATCAGTGTGTACTCATATATAGATCTTCCTTCAGTTAATAGTACAGTAACAGTGTTAAGATTTGATGGTGAGTTATTATGATTGAGAGAGTATAATTGATATGTGTTGTAGTTCCTAGTCCAGTAACTAGTCTCTCAGTATCTAATGTCTCAACCACTGGTATTAGAGTGAACTGGACTATTCCCAGTAGTGACAACTATGTAACATACTACACCATCTCCTATACTCCATCTTGTCCCCAGTTATCATCAGTGAATGAGGAAGTCTCTGTTACTCCTCATCAGTCCACTACAACATACAGTTATACATTAACAGGTCTGTACAGTGGTATGAACTATACCATCACAGTGAGAGCTGGTAATGTACTAGGAGGATCTGAATTAAGCATGAACACAATACAAACTGAAGAAAGAAGTAATTATTTATTCTTTTCAATATTCAATTAATAATGTGATTTGTAGTTCCTAGTGGTCAGCCTTTATCAATTCGAGTATTGCCAGTTAATTCTACAGCTAATAGATTCACTTGGAATGAGGTCAATTGTTCTGAGCGTAATGGTCTAATCACAGGCTATACAGTGATTATCAGTAACAGTAGTATCACATACAACCTCACCAGTACTGAGAGATATATCATATTGAATGATCTAGTATTTGGTACTGAGTATAACATCAGTGTAGCTGCTGTCAATTCTGTTGGAAGAGGTCCCTTCAGTGATCCTATTGAAGTAGAGATTGGAATAGGTATGTAATTATTATACTATATCAGTTCTGTGAGAATGTGTGTTTATTTAGTACCTGGTCCAGTTGGTTCAGTATCCAGTATCATGGACACTACATGGGCTGTTATCTCATGGAGTGTACCTAGTTATATTCCATCAGACTATTCCATTATCACATATGAGATAGGATATCATATCTTAGAGTCTGGTAACTGTTCAATGGTAGATAATGATGACCTAGATATTCAAATGCTACGGTTTATGAATTCAACCAATGGCAATACATTTACTACTAGAATTAATAATCTCAATGCTATGTCTTG